ACGCTCACAACAACGAGCGGAGCGCCGAGCGGATAAAACTCAGAAAATTGGTCTCGAGTTCAAATCCTGGTCGTGGGGATGTGGAGGGGTCGATAAAACGAGGACTACTTTGTATGGAAGCCTACAGTGGCTGGCCTTTAGATACTCACCCCCGCCGTAGGAACGTGGAATTCTCACCACTGCTGAGCACTGTAAACGGGAGAGATGAGAACCGATGCATCGATGCTCATAAATCACTGACCTTTTTGAACCAGCACTTGCCACGGCAGCGTTTGACTACGTCAGCTCAGCCGCAAATGCGTAATGTACCTGGGACGGTGGTGTGTACACATCGGCACTGGGGAGAGACAAAGGCGGCCGGGCGCGGCGGTGTATCGGCCACCCACCCGCTCGTGTTCCGATCGGGCGTTGGCAGGCGCTCGCTCACGGAACCTGCCACTCCAGTCTGTTCGAGGCTACACAGTGAAAGGTGGTGGGTGGAGCGGGTACTGTCCGTGTGTCGCAACTATGCGTGTCGGTATTGTGTCGCGGTGCGATTATGTTTCACGCTTCGGCAGGTGAGTGCGACAGAAGTTGCATCAACACGTTGCATAAGAGCCGCCGTTTTAGTGGCACAAAAATAGCCGCACGAAGCCTCGCTAATAATAACCCAGCCCCAGCCCCCCCTCCCCCCCAGCCCCTACCCCCAATCCTACCCCCCTCCCTCCCACCCCACCCCCATCCCACTCCCCACCCCCCCATCTCCCCTCATCCCCCCCACCCTCCATCCTACTCCCCGACCCCCCTATCCCACTCCCCCCCCACCCCAACCCCCCCACCCCACTCCCTCCATCCTACTTCCCCCCCACCCCACTCCCCCCCCACCCCATCCCACTCCCCCCCCCACCCCATCCCACTCCCCCCCATCCCACTCCCCCCCCAACCCACCCCACTCCCCCCCCGCCCCACTCCCCCCCCACCCCACTCCCCCCCATCCCACTCCCCCCCCCCATCCCACTCCCCCCCATCCCACTCCCCCCCATCCCACTCCCCCCCATCCCACTCCCCCCCCCACCCCATCCCACTCCCCCCCCATCCCACTCCCCCCCATCCCACTCCCCCCCCACCCCACTCCCCCCCAACCCACCCCACTCCCCCCCCCCATCCCACTCCCCCCCCACCCCACTCCCCCCCCAACCCACCCCACTCCCCCCCCAACCCACCCCACTCCCCCCCCCCATCCCACTCCCCCCCACCCCACTCCCCCCCCACTCCCCACCCCCCCTGCCTTCTATCCGAATCCCACCGCCTCTCCCCGTGGCAACCGCCCGGCCCGCTCCCCACACTCGCCCCGCTCCTCGGGAGCTCAGCGCGGGTTGCGGCTGGATGGCGCGTGGATGGGCGCACACGCAGCAGCGGCGCTGGGAGCCACCAGGGGGCAGTAGCTCCACGCTGACGCCAGCAGACGAGTCTGACGATCATGAGACCTCCTTTTACCAGTGGCAAAATATAGTGATAGGTTTTTACCCTCTTCTTGGTTCTTTCGGTAAAGTCACGTAGAATGGAAATAATAAAATAATAAAATTTTAACTAATAAAATAATTCTCACGACGTTTCGGCCACAACGCAAGCAACCGTCCTCAGGTGAAGAACAGGTCTGTCGATAAGACAAAAATTGACACCTTTATACAAGGCAATCAACTTCAAGGACAGTGCATATCATTATCAGAGTTGTTTCTTTTTGTTTGCATTTTGACTGCTTGTGTTGTGGTTATTGCAAACATGATGCCTTGTATAAAGGTGTCAGTGTTTGTACCAGTTAAAAGGGTAAAAACCTATCACTAGAGTCTGACGATTGTTTTTGTTTTCGTTTTTATTTTTCCGGAGGAGGAATCTGATGAGCTAGGAAGCTCTTTTTTTGCGCGGATTTCCAGCAGGGGGCTTAGGTTGGGCGGTCAGCAAGTTACATCGACAAGCAACACGTGAAAGGATACAAGAGTAAGACGGGTGACATGTCAAGCAGGTCAATAAATAAACATAGAGACATACTCTTAGGTTTTTTCGGTAAAGTCACGTAAGTAAAAATAAAAATACATAATAGTAGTGTATAGTGTTGTGTATAGTGTAGTGTATAGTAGTGTAGTGTATAGTCTAGTGTATAGTATAGTAGTGTATAGTAGTGTATAGTTGTGTCTAGTAGTGTATAGTGTAGTGTATAGTGTTGTGTATAGTAGTGTATAGTGTTGTGTATAGTGTTGTGTATAGTAGTGTATAGTGTTGTGTATAGTAATGTATAGTGTAGTGTATAGTGTAGTGGTTAGTGTAGTGTATAGTGTAGTGTATAGTGTAGTAGTGCTAGAGCCTGTCGCCAGGGAAAGGGAGGTTTTGACCGCCACGACACAACACGCTGTTGCTGCTGCCGCCGCCACCCTAACCAGGACAAGCGGATTGCGAAACGAACGGGGCCCAAATTCCCCTGCGATCTCATTGACCCATTTGAGCTGGTGAGGGAAAAATCCGAGAGCGTAGAGAAGCAACGAAGCGTACACATTGGAGGTAATAAAATATTTTTAAATAAAAAATGGTGTTATTATATATGTGGGTTTTTATATATAGTTTTACTCTGATCTTATTTGCAATTTAATTCTCGCACACAGAGCGGCCCACCCACCCGGGCATGCTGCCCTCTGGCCAGTCCCAGCCTTGTGCATGGGAGTCCACATTTCACGAGGGAGACGTATGAACACGTGTGTGTGTGTGTTACTCCCTGCTCAGTGGGAAGCGGTAGTGTAGCGGTTAGCGCTGCGCTATGAACCCGGCGACCCGGGTTCGATTCCCGCTCACGGCCAATACCGGTGACGATTATCTGAACCGGTCCTGGGTCTCCCCTAGGTCGACTCGGCCTCAAATAAGTACCCGGTGCGGTGTGTAAACATCACCACTGGGGAGACAAATGCGGCCGCGCGTGGTGCTGGCCACACACCCCCTCGTGTTCCGTTCCGGCCTTTCTAGGTGCTCGCTAACAGCACTTGCCCCTACTGTATGTTAAGACTATACGGGGGATCTTTGTCTTTGTCCTCCCTGCCAGCTTCACCAAGCCGCACTGGCCACTGGACATCTGTGAAAAAGAGCTTCATAGCTCATCGGATTTTTCAAGTCTAAATCGTCTGACTGATTCCGGGTGGTCAAATGATCCTCACCGGATTGAGGCCGTGCGGTGGCGTCCTTGCGACAGCTTGTTGTTGACCTGTTCACATCGCTACCCCGGCAGAGCGGTGGCGCAGTGGTTAGCGCGCTACGCCGTGAACCTGCGGACCTCAGCTGGATTTCCGGCCACGGTCAACATCGGTCGCGGGTGATTTCTGAACCGCTGATGCGGCTACTGCCACCCCCACCTCCTCACCAGCGCGTTCCACCCTCCGCCAGATCCCGCCGCTGCTGCTGCCTGGCCCTGACTCTCTCACCTGCTCCCACCTTAGACTCACACAGAGACCCATAGACTCACACAGACACTGATAGACTCACACAGAGACCCATAGACTCACACAGAGACCCATAGACTCACACAGAAACTGATAGACCCACACAGAGACCCATATACTCATATAGACTCAAATAGAGACCCATAGACTCATATAGACTCACACAGAGACCCATAGACTCACACAGACACTGATAGACCCACACAAAGACCCATAGACTCACACAAAGACCCATAAGCTCACACAGAGACCCATAGGCTCACAAAGAGAACCATAGACTCACACCGACACTGATAGACTCAAACAGATACTGATAGACTCACATAGAGACCCATAGACACACACAGATACCCATAGACTCACACAGAGACCCATAGACTCACACAAACACTGATAGACTCACAGAGACCCATATACCCACACAGAGACCATAGACTCACACAGAGACCCATAGACCCACACAGAGACCCATAGACTCACACAGAGACCCATAGACTCACACAAACACTGATAGACTCACAGAGACCCATAGACCCACACAGAGACCATAGACTCACACAGAGACCCATAGACTCACACAGAGACCCATAGACTCACACAAACACTGATAGACTCACAGAGACCCATAGACCCACACAGAGACCATATACTCACACAGAGACCCATATACTTGCATAGACCCATAGACCCACACAGAGACCCATAGACTCACACAGAGACCCATAGACTCACACAGAGACCATAGACTCACACAGAGACCCATAGACTCACACCGACACTGATATACTCAAACAGATACTGATAGACTCACATAGAGACCCATAGACACACACAGATACCCATAGACTCACACAGAGACCCATAGACTCACACAAACACTGATAGACTCACAGCGACCCATATACCCACACAGAGACCATAGACTCACACAGAGACCCATAGACCCACACAGAGACCCATAGACTCACACAGAGACCCATAGACTCACACAAACACTGATAGACTCACAGAGACCCATAGACCCACACAGAGACCATAGACTCACACAGAGACCCATAGACTCACACAGAGACCCATAGACTCACACAAACACTGATAGACTCACAGAGACCCATAGACCCACACAGAGACCATAGACTCACACAGAGACCAATATACTTGCATAGACCCATAGACCCACACAGAGACCCATAGACTCACACAGAGACCCATAGACTCACACAGAGACCATAGACTCACACAGAGACCCATAGACTCACACAGATACTGATAGACTCACATAGAGACCCATAGACTCACACAGACACTGATAGACTCACATAGAGACCCATAGATTCACACAGATACTGATAGACTCACAGAGACCCATAGACCCACACAGAGACTAATAGACTCACACCAAGATTCTTACAGTCACAAATAGACCCTTGGACTCACACGTACAATAGATCCACAACCTCACGCATAGACTCACATAGAGACTCAAAGGCTCATACAGAGACCCGTAGTTCCACCACTGGGCCTTGGGTCCGATCTTACCCAACAGTGGCCGGACTTGAGAATACCGCGCTCCACTCTCCGTCTCGTTAACCGGCTCCGCCCCATGGTACACACCACGAGTCACCCAGCGCAGACGTTTATTTTCTTTTTTATTCTCACCATGTCCACGTGGCCAGTTCTATTACTAACCTCCAAGTTGTTTACCATATCCTATTCCATCCCACACACATGTCCCACTAAATTTGACAGGTCGTTTTATTTTTTACTACCTGAATCATATCTGCAACACTTATCTAAAAGCCATTGCATACGAGGGTGACGTTTCGGCCAATGCCTCGTTTAATCTTCATAGCAGAGATAGAGCGACGCCTTTAAGACTGGGCTTTGAAGAAAAAACACATCGAAAACGGATAAAAACAATGTTGCGATTCGTATCTCGACGTCGGAATCTTGCGAAACCCGATCCGTGTATTCGTGACGGGGCGTGACATTGTAGAGAGGAGGGCGCAAATGTTCCAGGGATCAGCTTTTGTCCTTAGCTCGCTCTCCCTTCTCTCGTTCTCTCTTCTCTCGTTCTCTCTTCTCCCTTACCTGGCTAACAAGCGCCATGACTTCGCCAACTTCGCCTGTGCTCAGGCGAAGATGGCGGTGTACAGAACGAGGAAAAAGATGCTGGAAGGTGACACTGACGGCTGCTCTGTGCTTCCAGTGTTCAGAGGCCTGCTCAAGGCGCGGCTCCGGTTGGAGCACGCGTACCACACACATGTTGGTGATGTGCACGTCTTCTTTGAACGCTGGGGGAGCCGGAAAAGCACCTCTCTGTACCAGCGTGGACGGCACCCTCGTGTTCACCTTCTGAAGCGCTCGCTCGTCACTGTGGCGTGCGCGATGACCACCACCACGTGACTTTTCTTTCGTGTTGTGCGCGCTGCATTTAGCGCCACAGCGCGTGGATTTGTAGCGTTTGTTTATTTGTTTGCTGGTGACTTTGTGTATTTCATATCGAAATCGCCTCCAGTGCTGTTGCTGCTGGCGGCAATAAAAGTTGTTAAAAGTCAAAAAGTCTCTCTCTCTCTCTCTTGCACGATACTGAACCCCCCAGGGCGCTGCGTCACGTGTCGGCATCTGATCGGAGGAAGGAAGGAGGATGAGAGGGAGAGGGATGTTTACTCGTCCAACCAACCAGCTAACAACAACAAACAACAACAACCAACAACAAACATCAACAACGGGCGGCAGCGCTTCTGTAGATAACGCCAAGTTTGATTTGTGTGACCGGGTGATAACCAAAGAGATCAGGATGAATCTCAAATCTCGCAATACAGACGTGGGGCCTCGGTCACGGGAGTGCGACTGCGGCCATGCAACCCAACGCATGGACCGTAAAGGAGACCCATCGAGAGATACAGAGACACTCAAGACCAGGAACAGAAGTGTAACTTGAACTGTGGACCGTGTAGAACCCCCATCGTGGTCTGCGCTCCTTCAACGGAGGAGGAGGAACAGCCCCACGACACGAACTCTCTCTCTCTTGCTGCTGAGTGCCCGGCCGCCTTTGTCTCCCCAGCAGACAGACCTCGACACTGTCGTCTGAGAGAGCGCTGCCGCTATCGTCGCGCGCAAGAGGAACATCGCCAGCTGCCAGGAGGGGCGGGGGCAGGGGGGGGGCACGGTGGTCGCTTGCGCGGTTTCATTTTCGAAATCGACAAATTCGGAGCGTGACCGACGCCGGCTGCTGGCAACACAACGGACGTCAGAAGGGGAGGGGGCGGTGCGAGTGGTCATTAAGGTGCCACTGTGAATACGCAGTGATAATCAGAGCGGCCGTCCAGGTTCGAACCGTGAAACTCTGCGACCGCTCGGTCATGGCACCGCTCTCACCAACAACGGCAGCATTGCCACGAACACAGCAGCAGCCGAATCACGCACACGTGCACAGCAAGGCAAAGACAACGATCCCCCGTATAGTATTAACAAGCTTGTGCGGGACAAGTGCAAGCACCTATGAAGGCCGGAACGTCACACGATAGGGTGGGTGGCCAATACTACGCCGCGGTCGCCTTTGTCTCCCTCGTGGCGATGTTTACACACCGCACCAGGTACTCATTTGAGGCTGAGTCGACCTTGGCGAGGCCCAGGACCGGTTCAGATAATCGTCACTGGTGGTGGTGGTGGCCGTAAGCGGGAATCGAACTCGGGTTACCAGGTTGTGGGCCGGCGGTGGTGGGGGGGTGTGTTTGACCATACTTCACCACTGGAGACTCGTAATCTCGAAGTGATTCACCAACCCTGAGGATACAAAACAAAACCCGGGCTGTGTGGTCAATTGCCACAACGTGAAACCATAAGCCTCGTCAGCAGGCATGTTCAATCCACCGCTGTATGAAAGCCTCCCCCAAACCGCTACCTTCCACGACACCCACCCCACGAGCTATCTGTTCCACGCACACGAAGCTGATTTCACAGCTCCGTCTCCCCGGGCGGGCGTATTCTCTTACGCATTCCCAACAACAACAACAACATTTTTACCAAGGGGAGAGAGAGAGAGAGAAATATATATATATACATTTTAAAAACAAATGTAACTCACGATCTGCCAGGAGTGGCCCACGTGTTCACGACAGATAACGCTGCCACTCGGAGCTGGCCCAGACTGACTCATGAATGGACCCAGAGGGATCGTGGCGTCATCGCTGTGGAGAGCGGTAGTCGTCGTGGTTATAGCGCGCTGCACTACGAACCCGACGAGCCGAGGTTCGTTTTGTTTCCGCTAAAACCGGAACCGGTCCTGAGCCTCACCGAGGTCGACTCAGCCTCAAATGAATATCTGGTGCAGTGTTTCAAACAAAACAAACATCGCCACTGGGGAGACAAAGTCGGCCGGGCGTGGTGTTGGCCCACCACCCCCTCGTGTGCCGTGCCGGCCTTCATAGGTGCTCGCTAACAGCACTTGCCACAACCGTCTGATAAGGCTGTACGGGCGCCTGGTTACGTGCTAGGATCGTGGACTCGATCTCGGAGCCTGACGATGCTCCTTGTATATTTGGAGTCCGCGGCGTGTTTCTCTTCTCTCCCGGTGGTGGTCGCATGGATTGATCTCCGGGTTTCTCCGGCGTTGCCCTCCTCTTCATCCACATTGAGAATCAACGCGCGCTTAGATTACACTGGTCAAAATACTTTTTCTGGTATAAGGTATTCCAACGGTTTTAATGTAATTTTGGGGTGCTGATTCCAAATCTGGCATCAGTTTTTGTCTATCACATCAGGGTTTTGAGATATCAAATATTGCATTTTCAATAAAAACTGCAGAAGAAAAATATTAAATAAATGTGGATATCTACATAAAATGATATTATAAACACACTATCCTAAAAATACAGCACCATATTTTAACACTAAAGCAGTCACTGACTCGTAACAACTTGCAATCATAAGTGACAGAGTTAATTTCGGGTAAAATCAGTGAAAATGGGGTATGCCGATAGCATAAAAATGAGATGTGATAAAGCAAATCTGAGATCAGATTTGGAATCAGTACCCTGAAATTAGTCTAAAACAGCTGCAAAAGTCCAGGCCAGAAAAAAATGGGTTTTTTTGTTGACCAGTGTAATCTGACTGCTGCTATACAACAACAACAACAACACGAAACACCCACGTGTGGTGGTGACGACGACGATGTCAGCCACTGCTGCGATGATGAGTCACGATGATGATGACAGCTCATCCTCACGCGCATGATGATCACGCGTGATGATCATGGTAGATCATCATCATCATCATCACGCGTGATCATCATCATTATCACGCGTGATCATCATCATCATCACGCATCATCATCACATCACGCGTGATCATCATCATTACACGTGATCATCATCATCATCACACGTGACCATCATCATCATCATCATCACGCGTGATCATCATCATCATCATCACATCACGCGTGATCATCATCACATCACATCACGCGTGATCATCATCATCACGCGTGATCATCATCACATCACGCGTGATCATCATCACATCACGCATGATCATCATCACATCACGCGTGATCCTCAACTCGGTGGTGGTGGGGGGGGGGGTTGTCGCTGCTAAAATAGAAGCCGCGTTGGCAGTGGGACATCTCTCAGCAGTCGCCACGCGCACAGACAGCGGCACCCTCACGGCGCGGTAACCCCCCTCGCTGCGACCGGCAGGGGGCGAGCGTGAGACGGAGGGTGAGTGAGTGAGGGAGCCGGAGAAAGAGAGACGGAGAGAGGCGGAGAGAGAGTGAGAGAGCCGGAGAGAGAGAGAGAGTGCGCGTGGCAGAGGCAGACTCGTAGGGGAGAGTGAGAGAGCCGAGAGGGGAGAGAGCGATTTTGCAGGGCACGCCCAGCAGAAAGAACATCCCCTCCCACCGCCATCACCGACCAACCCAACCCTCCCTCCCTCCCGTCTCCTTCCGTTTCTTCCCTATCCGGGCTACCAGTCGGCACAGCAGACGTCAGTGGCGATACGATACACACAGATATTGTTACCCCTTGCTGCTGCTGCTGACTGCCCGTGCTCACGCCGGAGAGAAGACGGCGAGAGAGAGCGAGCGAGCGAGCGAGACGTCGCAGGAGACGCAGCGCGACCGACCTGACTTCATTCGATTTGGCTCGAGAGGCTCGCTGCATCACAACCCGTATCGGGAATCCAACCGGGACGGCGCTCAAATCAAGATCCGAGGCTCCATCGCTGCTCGCAATCGGCGGCGGAGGGGGCGGGGCGGGTAGGGGAGGGGGCGGGGTGGGGGCTGCTAATTGGGTCGATCGGAGCCCCCGAGGTTCGATCTCGGCTTAGGACCGAGCGAGCCGGCCAAGAGACGCGGCATGGGGTGTCGAACCTACGCGGTCGTTCTCCGCGGCACCTACACGGTATAACGCGGCGCCGGCCGGGTGCTGCTGTTGGTGGTGGTAGTGGGTGGCTGGTGGGGCCGGAGGTGGTGGTGGTGGTTTTAATTTTCGGGGTGGTGGGGGGTGAGAGGTTTCGGCACGGAGTGGTAAGAAGCGGCGTCGAAGAAGAAGGAGAGACAGCACGCGCTGTGCGTAGCTCGTGCGCCTAACGGCAACAACAGCTGCGGCATCATCTACAGCAGTAGCAGCAGCAGTAGCTTCAACAGCATCAGCAGCTTCAACAGCAGCAGCCTCAACAACAGCAGCAACAAAAGCAGCAGCAGCTCCAACAGCAACAACAGCAGCTCCAACAGCAACAACAGCAGCCGCAGCTTCTACATCAACATCCTCAACAGCAGCAGTTTCAACAACAACAGCAGCGGCGGCAGCATCATCATCGTCGACTGCTGCTGCTGCGGCTGCTGCTGCTGCTGCAGTGGCCGCTTGCCGCGCGGCGCGCGATGAGGAAAATCAAGCGCGTGCTGGATGGACTCACCACGCCGGCGAGCGCGCAGACGGCCAAGCCCGAGAACGAGATTCACGAACGCCTCGGCTCCGATCATTTTCAGCTTTGCAAGGTACGAGGAGGGGAGGGGGAAGGGGGGAGGCTGCGTTGTGTCTGAGAGATCGGGCTTGGACATATTTGGGGGGTGAGGTGTGGAAGGGAAGGGGGGTATCATACGAATTTTGTATCCAACATCGTCAGCTGTTATCGCGTGCTGCAAGGTGCGAGCAGATGGGGGGGGGGGTGAAGGAGCTGATGGACCCCCGTGCAATCCCTTCCATCTGTATCGAACGCGTGATTGTGTTGCGTTCATTTGCTGTGTCGTTCGTTGGCTCATTCATTTGAATCGTTCGTGACCCCCCCCCGGACCCCTCCCCCCTTCACTGTGATAACACGATGAGCAATTTGCAATGCGAATTCGTGTATCACAAGAGTAGGTGATACTGCCTAGCGCTGTGCGGATTATTGGCGTGTTAGTGGCGTGTATCTGTGTGTGCCCTTGCCACCCAACAGTTAAGGCTACACGGGGGATCTTTGTATTTGTGTGTGTATATAGTGGGGGAGCGGTGCCGCAGTGGTTAGCGCACTGCGCTACGTGCCCTGCTCACGTCTCGGTCTTCAATACGTGTCCCATTGCGGTGTATAAACATCGGCACTGGGGAGACAAAGGCGGTCGGGCGTGGTGCTGGCTTTCGTAGGTGCTCGCTAACAGCACTTGCCCCAATAGTCTGTTCAGGCTATACGGGGAGTCTTTGGCTTGTGTTGTGTGTCTGTGTGCTTGTCTTGTATAGATGTGTGTATGCGTGCGTCTCTGTGTGTCCGTCAGTTTCTATGTGTGTATGTGTGCGTATGTCACTGTCTCTGCGTGTATATACGTTTCTATCTGAATGTGTCCGTGTGTGTCTGTGTGTATCTTTGTGTGTCTGTGTATCTTTGTGTGTCTGTGTGTATCCTTGTGTGTGTGTCTGTTTGTGTGTGTATCTTTGTGTGTATTCCTGTGTGTCTCTGTGTATGTCTCTGTGTATCCCTGTGTGTGTGTCCTTGTGTGTATCCCTGTGGGTGTATGTTTTTGTGTATCCCTGTGTGTCTGTGTGTATCCCTGTGTGTATCCTTGTGTCTGTGTGTGCGTGTATCCCAGTGTGTGTCTCTGTGTGTATCCCTGTGTGTCTGTGTGTGTCGTGTGGTGGGTGTTGTGAATTTGCTGTACGTGCATGTGTGTGCGTGGGGAGTGGCGGCGCATTAGTTAGCGCACTGCGCTACAATCCCAAGTTCCATTCGCGCTCACGGCCAACATCAGGGACCGATATCTAAAACCGGTCGACTCCGTCTTTCGGAGAGAAAAAAATTATTTCCGCTACGCGTAATGACGTCGGCAACCGTGGGGGAGGCAAAGGCGGCCGGGCACGACGCTATCCACACCGAGGCCTTCGTGTGACAGCACTTTGCCCAGCACAACAAGCAGCACGTGAGTTCTCCTTTACCCCCCCCCCGCCTCCTTCTCCTGTTCCCCTTTTGTCCCTTCCACGGCAGACCGTGCGCCATGGATTTCCGCACCAGCCAACTGCGCTGGCGTTCGACCCGGTCCAGAAGATCCTGGCGATCGGCACGAGGAACGGAGCGCTCCGGCTGTATCCTTGCCGCCTCCGCCTCCGTCAGGTTCGGTCAGTCCCAGCTGCGCCTCCTTCTTCCACCACCATCCTCCTCCTCCTTATCTAGAACGCCGTCGCAACGCGGTATGGATTCGGTAGAAATCGTCGATGAAATATTTCGGTAGGAGCTGTGTGGAGGCGTGTGTGCGTGAGTGTGAGTGCGCTCACGGCCAACACCGGTGACGATTATTTGAGCCGGTCCTGGGCCTTCCCTAGGTTGACTCGGCCTCAAATGAGTACCTGGTGCAGTGAGCGGTAAACATTGCCACTGGGGAGACAAAGGCGGTCGGGCGTGTTCCTGGCCACCCACCCCCGTGTGTGCAGGGCCGGTCTTCATAGGCGCTCGCTAACAGCACTTGCCCCAACAGTCTGTGAAGGCTACACGGGGGATCTTGGTCTTTGTTGTCCCATTGCCGCCTTCGTCATCTACTCGAGTTGGGTGCCCACGTGGAGTTGGAGGGGAAGGGGGGTGTCTGTGTGCTGTGTGTGGAGAGCGGTGGCGCAGTGGTTCACGCACTGCGCTACGAACCCGGTGACCCGAGTTCGATTCCAGCTCGCGGCCAAGACACCCGAGTTCGATTCCCGCTCACGGCCAACACCGATGACGATTATTTTGAACCGGTTCTGGTCTTCCCCTAGGTCGACTCAGCCTCAAATGAGTACCTGGTGGAGGTGAGTAAACAGCGGGAGACAAAGGCGGCCGGGCGTAGTCCTCGTGTGCCGTGTTGGCCTTCATGGATGCTGCTCGCTAACGGCACTTGTCCCAAGGATCTGTTCAAGGCTATACGGGTTATCTTTGCCTTTGTTGTGTGCTGTTCAGCTCGCCTATACAACAATGGGCCATGGCATCATTGCTGCTGCCTTAGCTACTGTAGTATGGATACGGCTCGCCTAACGTGGGCTTATGCGGGGGTGTGTGTACTTGTGTGTGTGTGTGTGCATGCGTGCTCTTGTGTGTGCGTGTCTGTCAATTCATGCGCGTGCGTCAATACTGTAGTGGGGAGGAGCTGGAGAAGAAATGACCGGCCAAGATGTCGGGGATGATCAGAATCAGAATATTTATACTGGAGGAATCCGATGAGCTTCAAAGCTCTTTCTCAAAGATGCCGGGGATGATGAGAGGGCGATGCTGATGATGATGATGAGAGGGGGGGAGAGCGAGAGAATGGAGGAGGAGCGAGCAGTAGGGAGCTGCAGGGAGGAGGAGCAGCGCCTGTTCTCACAGTGGGCGGGGTGAGGGTAGGGGTTCAGAGTGGGGGGGGGGGCAGCACCGAAGTCACGTGATTTGCGGGAGGCTTCAGCTGGTAGGGCGTGCAAGCACGTGGTAGATGGAGTTGGGCAGGCGTGAGAGTGTGTGTGTGTCAATATCTGGGTGTGTGCTCACGGCAAACACCAGTGCCTCCTCCCCTAGGTCGACTCGGCATCAAATGAGTACCTGGTGCGATGTATAAACATCGCCACGGGGGAGACAAAGGCGGGCGGGCGTGGTGTTGGCCACCCATTTCGGCCTTCATAGGTGCTCGCTAGTGGCACTTGCCTCAATAGTCTGTTCAGGCTATACAGGGGATCTTTGTCTTTGTGTGCTTATGCACGTGACAACATTGCAGCCCTCGTCAGCAACTGTCACATTGGATTACGGTGTACCTGTGCGTGTCAGGCCGTGTGTGGAGCGGTGGTGCAGCGGTTAGCGCTACGCTGCGCTACGAACCCGGCGGCCCGAGTACGATTCCTGCTCACGGCCAACACCGGTGACGATTATCTGAACCGGTCCTGGGTCTACCCTAGGTAGACTCGGCCTTCAATGAGTACTCGATGCGGTGTGTAAAAAAAACATCGCCACTGGGGAGACAAAGACGGCTGAGCGTGGTGTTAGCCACCCACCCCCTCGCTTACCGTGCCAAGTCTTAATTGATGCTCGCTAGCAGCACTTGCCCCAACATTTTGTTAAGGCTATACGGGGGGGGGGGGGTCTTTGTCATTGTGTGTGCTTGCGACCAACATGAGCGGCGAATATCTGTGTGCCTCCCCGAGGTCGACTCAGCCATAAATGAGCAGCGCTTGCTAGGGCGTGTAAACTTCAGCGCTGGGGAGATAAAGGCGCTGCTACTCGCTAGCAGCACTTGCCCCAGCAGGCTATTAAAGCCTATACAGTATAGATGATGTTCGCGTGCGTGCCATTGTCTCCTTAGTCAGCTACTTCAGTATGGATGCGCCTGGCGCCCACGTGGAGTTAAGAGAGTGGGTGTGTGTAGCTGTGTGTCAATACTTGGCCTTCATAGGTGCTTGCTAACAGCACTTGCCCCGACAGCAGGGTCAAGGTCGCACGCTTCTGCGTGCGACCACGGGACGTGGGGCAGTGTATGGGACTTGTGCGGAGATGTGTCTGTGTGTGTGTGTGCAAGTGTCAGCCCTTGTGTGTGTGTGCAAGTGGGGAGCGGTAGTGTAGCGGTTAGCGCGCTGCGCTATGAAGCCGGCGACACGAGTTCGATTCCCGCTCACGGCCAACACCAGTGACGATTATCTGAATCGGTCCCGGGCCTCCCCTAGGTCGACTCAGCCTCAAATGAGTACCTGGTGCGGTGTGTAAACATTGCCATTAGGGAGACAAAGGCGGTCGGGCGTGGTGCTGGCCACCCACCCCCTCGTGTACCGTTCCGACCTTCATAGGTGCTCGCTAACAGCACTTGCCCCCACAGTCTGTTAAGGCTATATGGGGGATCTTTATCTTTGTATTCAAGTGTCAGCCCTTGCGTGTGCACGTGTGTGCACGTGTGTGTGTTGTATCATCGCCGCCTTCTCGGGGAGCGGTGGCGCAGTGGTCAGCGCACCGCGCAACCAAGCTGGCGACCCGGGGTTCTCGACTCGGCCGGACCTCCGCCTAGGTCGACTCGGCCTCAAATGAGTAGCCTGTTGTTGCCGTGTGTAACCATGAGCGCTGGGAAGACAAAAGCCCTGCCGGATTCGTAGAGGCTCGCAAACGGCACTTTCCCCAGCAGTACAATAAAGGCGAAGTATAGACAAAGATCACGCCCGGCCATCTTTGTCTCCCCAATGCTGATGTTTACATACCACACCAAGGTACTTATTTGAGGCTGAATCGACCTAGGGCAGGCCCAGGACCGGTGCTCATATTCGTCACTGACGATGTAGACTCACGTTGTTCGTGTTCGTAGGGCAGTGCGCGTGCCGCTACACTACCGCTTCCCACAACACGCACGGGCACACAAAGACAAAGATCCCCCGTGTAGCCTTCACGGACTTTTGGGACAAGTGCTGTTAGCGAGCACCTATGAATGCCGGCACGGCACGCGAGGGGGTGGGTGGCCAGCACCACGCCAGGCCGCCTTTGTCTCTCCAGTGGCGATGTTTACACACCGCACCAGGTACTCATTTGAGGCTGAGTCGACCTAGGGGAGGCCCAGGACCGGTTCAGATTAATCGTCATTGATTTTGGCCGTGAGCGGGAATCGAACTCGGGTCGCACAGACACTCTCACTCGCATGTACACACACGCTCAGAGACACGCACAGACACGCACGCTCAGAGACACGCACGCACAGACACGCACGCTCAGGGACACGCACGCTCAGAGACACGCACGCTCAGAGACACGCACGCACAGACACACGCTCAGAGACACGCACAGACACGCACGCTCAGAGACACGCACGCACAGACACACACAGACTCACGCACACACAGACTCACGCACACACAGACACACGCACACACAGACACACGCACACACAGACACACGCACACACGCAGCCTCCCATGCCGCAGTAATTGCCCTGTTTATGTTGGGCGTTGTGAGGTCCCTGCGAGTTCCCTGCGAGGTCTCTGTGCCACGCGTTCCGCGTTCCGCCTTGCCCATTGCCTAATAGGAGCTCGCTAACAGCACTTGCCCCTGAGAGCACGGGACGTGTTTGGGGGGGCAGTGTGTTAGTTGCGTGTGTGTGTCTATGTGTGTGTGTCTGTGTGTGTCTTCTAATGTGTGTATGTGTCTGTGTGTGTCTCTCTAATGTGTGTGTGTCTCTCTGTGTCTGCTTGTGTGTCTGTGTGTCTCTGTGTCTGCGTGTGTATCTGTGTGTGTGTGTGTGTCTGTGTCTGTGTGTCTCTCTAATGTGTGTGTATGTCTGTGTGTGTGTTTGTGTCTGTGTGTTGTGTGTACGTGTCTGTGTGTGTCTCTAACGTATGTGTGTCTCTCATGTGTGTATGTGTGTGCTGTGTGTAGCTATATATTTTGCTGTGTGTGCTGTGTGTAGCTGTCTGAAGGTGCGCACCTAGCCTGGCACAGACTCCGTGGTGACGTCACCGCCACTTCGTGGTGAACGGCGGTCTTGGTGTCGATGTGCGCGAGCCGGGTTCGATTCCCGCTCACGGTCAACACCAGCGACGATTGTCTGGGACTCACTTAGGTCGACTCAGCTGCAAGTTACTGCCGGTGTGGTGTGTATACATCACCACCGGGGAGACAAAGGCGGCCGGGCGTGGTTTGGCCACCCACCCCCTCGTGTGCCTTGCCGGCTTTTATAGGTGCACGCTAACAGCACTTGTACCATCAGTCTGTTCCAGGCTATGTGGAGAATCGTTGTCTTTGTGTCTGTTCGCATTCTGTACACGTGTGCGTCTGGCCACGCACACGTATGAAAGTGTCTCTGTCTCTGTTCCTGAATAATACATACGCACACTCACGCACACCGCACGACCCATTGCATTATCGTGCAGTCTCACTCGCCCTCTCACGCATTATCTCACCATCTCACCCTCTCACGCACGCTCTCACCCTCTCACGCACTCTCTCACGCACTCTCTCACGCACTCTCTCACGCACTCTCTCACGCACTCTCTCACGCACTCTCTCACCCTCTCACCATCTGACCCTCTCTCACTCTCTCACCCTCTCACGCACTCTCTCACCATCTCACGCACTCTCTCACCCTCTCACTCTCTCTCTCACCCTCTCACCATCTCACCCTCTCACGCATTCTCACCCACTCTCTCACCATCTCACGCACCCTCTCACTCACCCTCTCACCCTCTCACCATCTCACCCTCTCACGCACTCTCTCACCCTCTCACCCTCTCACGCACCCTCTCACCCTCTCACGCACTTTCTCACCATCTCACGCACAGGCGACTTACTGACTGCAGCGCTGCTGCTCGCTTCCGTTCCGCGGGTTCGAGTGTAGGCGACGATTCTGTTGGTGAGGATAATCACGACGTTCGTGGTGGTCGTGATGAGATTGAACTGGTGACGATAATGACGATGATGATAGGGATGGTAGTGGTAGCGATGATGGTGGTGGGGATGATGAGGGTCGTTGTCGCTATGGTGGTTGGAGGTCGTGTTGATGATAATGGCGGTGATGATGATGATGATGAAGTGGGGAGCGGTGGTCAGGGCATTGCGTTACGAATCCGGAGACCCGGGTTCGATTCCCGCTCACGGCCAACACCAGTGACGTTTATCTGAAAACCGGTCCGGGGCCTCGTCTAGGTCGACTCAGCCTAAAATGAGTAAGTGTTTCGGATCACCCCCCCCATCCCCTCGCGTGCCGTGCTGGCCTTCATTTGTGCTTGCGAACAGCACGTGCCTTGTCAGCCTGTCAAAGGCTATCTGGGGGATCTTTGTCTTTGGCGCGTGGTGAGAGTAGCTTCTTACCGCGACCCCCACCCCCACTACATCTCCCCCCCCACCCCACACGCATCTTACCCCCTCTCCCTCCCTCCTCCTCTACCCCCTCCCCCCACCATCACTCATGACGCCGAACACGCGAGGAAGATTGGGTCGGGCAGTGAGATGCAGCCGTGGATAATTTAATTAAGCCTCTTCAATTATACACAGCGTGATGCACTGCTCACCACCGACATAAGTAGGAGCCGCACACACAGAGACACGCGCGCGCACACACACACGTACAGGTCCTGTGGTCGATCTACTGCTGGATGAGAACCTCCCTACGTCGGGAGCTGTTTGAACAATGCTGATGTTTACCCACCGCGCCAGGGTTACTCATTTGAGGGTCGGGGAGACGCGGGGCAGACACGGGGGAGATGGGTGGAGACACACGGGGAAGACACACGGGGGAGACACACGAGGAGAGACATGGGGGAAACACGGGGGAGATGGTTAGGGTGATGGGTGGGCAGACACACGAGGAGACACACGAGGAGACGTGGGGAGAGGCGTGGACGCGACTTGGCGTGCATGTTGATGTGCGCACCCTTATTGATCGAGCGCTCCATTCAATTAGTGGCGCGGGGCTGCGTGCGCGTGCCCGTGCGCGTGCCCGTGCCCGTGCGCGTGCCCGTGCCCGTGCGCGTGTCCCCTGCGCGTGTGCACGAACCCGGCCGCCAAAGTTGGTGCAACACATCAGAATCCGAACGAGAATTTCTACCGGAGGAATCCGATGAGCTATAAAGTTCCCTTTCAAGGCCAATTGACAGTGGCGAAAATTGGAACCGTTCCTGGGTCCTTCCCCCAGGTCGACTCGACGAGTACTGAACCTGATGCGGTGGATCAGCACCAGCACTGGGGATGGCAAACGCGGCCGCGACGATTATTGACAAATATTGCAGATGTTAATGATTAACCCACACCCGCATTGGATGACGCAGTGTTCCTGTAGAGTCCAACTATAGACTGCTTGGGTTGATTCAGCCCATCATCATCTTCAGCATCTCTTCCTCCGGGGGGGGGGGGGGTGGTCGATAAAACCGAGTACAACTTTGTGTGCAAGATCAACAGTGGGGTTGTTGTTGTTGTTGTGCGGACTCATCTCCCGCCATGGTAATGTGGAATTCCCACGACTGGCTCAGGAATCACTCTGGTTTGCCGTGTGGCTTTCTCCTCGAGATAGCTGCCTCGAGATAGCTGCCTCGAGATAGCTGCCTCGAGAGAGCTGTGCGTGGTCTGCCTGCTGCACCTACAGCTACCTACCCAACATCGTAGCGGGCTTCACGAGCCAATCCACCAACCCCCCCACACAATCGATCGCCGGAATTATCGTGACTCCTGCAGCCGCTAGTGGCCGCTACACCACGCACACCACCACAGTGTTAACACTCGAACAAACTGTTACCCATATCCGCTATTGTATGTTAAGGCTAAGGTTGGAGGGGTGGGATGCGTCTTATAATCCGGTAGCTGTGCATCGTGTGGGTGATGAAGATTTGTGCAACTTTATTGATACGAGTTTAAGAGGAGAGGGGGATGGGAGGCGATCCAGGGGGGGGAGCGGGGGGATTGTCCAGTTACTCCTCTACTTATGAACAAGGGAGGTTCCAGATTCTGTTCGTAAGTCGATTTGTAAATCCAACTTTACTCCTGTCGATTCCAAAAATGTTATACTGCGTGTACACTAAACACGGGAAATGCCTTTACAAGTTGTATCATCTCCTGGAGATGTAGATGCCACTGGTTATTCACGTTCTGCAGATGTAGATGCCACCACCACCACCACTATTTATTGCGCGGCGGTTGAACTAACGACTCTCGGTCCGAACAGGCAACTGGACATACGGACATGTTTTGTTCGTATCTCTCAAAGTTCGTAAGTCGAATGTTCGTAAGTAGAAGAGTCCCTGTAATCTTGAATGTGTGTGGTGATGATCTTCGCTTGAGAGCGAGATCCTCAAGCCGGTTCAGAATAGAGATTATGTATAAAAATGCAACGTTTCAGGCAATAGCCCTTATTCATAGCACGGAGCTCCTCTGTGTGTGTGTGCGCGCGCGTGTGTGTGACGTGAGATTGACATGGCTCATAGGGCGAGGTGTGTAGCCTCTGGTCGCGTGAGTTATAAGTGCTTCTCTGACCTTTAAGATGATACTCGTCGTGTACGGCTGGGTGTGGGAAGGAATATCCACCCCTAGCCGAGCACGCGCGCGTGTGTGTGTGTGAGACTGTGTGCTAGGTACACAGACAAAGATCCCCCGTGTAGCCTTTGCCAGGGTATTTGGGCAAGTGCTGTGAGCGAGCACCTATGAAGGCCGACATTTACACACCGCGCCGTGCACTTGGTTATATCGACGCAGAGGAGTCTGCATGTTGGTTTAGTGGGGAGACAAAGGCGGCCCAGGCGTGATAATGGCCACACCATCACCTCGTGCGCTGTGCTCTCCTTAATAGGTGCTCGCAAACAGCACTTGCCCCGACAGCCTGTGTAGGCTACACGGGGGACCCGTGTCTTTGTGTGGGTGAGCAAAACGCCTGAACAATGTGGGAAGTCAGACCAACGCACACACGTGGAATGTCTAATTAGAGTGACGTTGACCTCTGATTCCCCTCGATGACCCCTGCCAACACTCACCCTCGCACACTCACCCCGCACTCACCCTGCCACCACTCACCCTCCCACACTCACCCACACACTCACTCACCCTGCCAACACTCACCCACACTCACACACACTGTCACTCACCCACACTTTCACTCACCGTGCCAACACTCACCCACACTCTCTCACCTCCTACAGATCTCCCTCCCTCACCCACATTCCTCACGCTCACCCTCTCCACAGCACACACTCACCACCAGCACGCCTCGCCCACAACTCGTTCCCGACTCAATCTCTCACTTCTCACCTTAACTCACCCCAGCTCCAGCCACCCGCCTCACCCCACTCCTTCCTACTCCCCCCACCTCCTCCTTAATCCCCCTTCCCTCTCTACCCCACTCCCTACCCCCTTCCTCATTTCCTCCCTCACCCCCGCGGTTCGAACATTCGCCACTGACATTAGCTGTGGCCTGGAATCGAACTTTTGCAGTAGCAGTAGCAGAAGGAGCAGAAGTAGCAGCAGCAGTAGTAGCAGCAGCAGTAGCCCCAGCAGTAACAGTAGGAGTTAGCAGTATCAGCAGGAGTAGCAGTGTTGTGGTCATACGCACAAAGCATTATTTACCAGGGCGACCGCTGAAGTCGAACCGCGGCTAGTGAGTTCCTGGGGAGGTGGGGGGATGCGTCAGAGGGCGGTCACGGGGGCGGGGGGGGGGTTGCCACCCGTCCCGGTTTTTCACAGAATCGCCCGTCAAATCTATTGACTTTCCAGAGCGAGTTGTGTACAATACTGCCGTACAGTATATCTATATTTTATTAATATCCCCCCCCTCCAAGGATAATCCCTTGCGATGGAACATCCCGTTTGCTAGGGTGTCCAGGGTGACAAGTGACACATGCATAGCAAACACATGATGACACACACACACAAAGGTAAATATCCCCCAACATTGCCTTTTTTATAAACGGTTTGGGGGGCAAGTGCTGTGAGCAAGTAGCACTTATGAAGGTGGGTGGCCAGCACCACGCCCGGTCGCCTTTGTCTCCCCAGTGCTGATGTTTAAACACCTCACCAGGCACTCATTTATGGCCGAGTCTACCTCGGGGAGGCCCAGGACGGGTTCACATATTCGCCAACACCGATGTTGACCGTGAGCGGGAATCCAACTCGGGTCGCTGGGTTCATCGAGCAATGCGCTAATCACTACGCCACCGCTCCCCACTAACACACACACACACTTAAACACGTACGCCCACACACTCGCATGCATACACACAAAGACAAAGATCCCCCCCATCCTATAGCCTTAACAGACTCCTGGGGCAAGTGCTGTTCGCGAGCACCTATGAAGGCCGGCGCGGCACACGAGGGGGTGGGGTAGCCAGCACCACGCCCAAAGACAAAGATTCCCCTTATAGCCTTCAACAGACTGTGTTAGGGCAAGTGCTGTTTGCGAGCACCCATACACCTATGCAAGTGACGCGTTGCAGAATGCACTCTTGACTGCAACAGCCACGAAAATGTCGCGCAGCATTTGCTTAAGTAAGCAAATCTGCGAAACCGGTTTTCGACATTCTGGGTGTCATCAGCAGCGCCGCGCTTGTTAAAACAGACGGGCCCCCTCGAGTCGCCAAATGTCATGGGGAAGGGCACTCCAAGCAGGCCGCGGTTTGCGCTGAGAATGCCGTGCAGGGGATGTGTGGATTCCACCTCGCCGGGTCTGTGCGGGGGGAGGGGAGTGAGGAGTCTCTGCCTCGTTTGGCACGCGTGGGCTTCCTCCACGTGCTCCGCTTTCCTGCCTCGTTAATTTGACCCGAAAACATCGTACATATGTAGAGGACAGCAGAGCTTGGGGGTGGTAGGGGGGGGTAGGAATATGGCACTGGCTCATCATCACCCCGCGTAGCTGCTGCTGCTGGTTTGCCGCTGCTCTGTGGTTGATCCTCCTGGCAACTCTGAGTCGTCGTCGTCCCCACCCCTCTCTCTCTCTCTGAGTCGACCTCTTTCTCAGTCGTCCTCTCTCTCTCTGAGCCCTCCTCTCTCTGCAGTCGTCCATTCTCACCGAGTCGTTCTCTCTCTCTCTCTCTGAGTCGTCCTCTCTCAACACAAGTCGAACTCGTGATGATGATTGTAAATAACCTGCCCCCCCCGCCCCACCCCCTCCTTTTCCCAACCTACTGGCGATTCGATTAGACAGTCGATCACTTTGTCGTCTCACCGTGGTGAGTGTAGCGGCCTCTAGTGGCGGTTCACGTTGAGTAACGTTGACCGCCCAGTGCATCTATTGGCGAATGGATGGAAGGGGAGGAGCGGTGGCGCAGTGGTTAGCGCGCTGCGCTGTTGAAGCCGGTGACCTGAGTTCACCCCTGGGACGGGGGCCCCGTGTTTCCTGCCGATAAGCACCGCTCCTTGCCGCAGAGTTGAGAAACACGGGTTCGAGGCCGTCCCGCGTGTGTATATTGAGCCAAGTGTCACGTTGACTGCGTTTAACCAAGTGAGAGTTCTAGAGACCAGGAGAGAGTCGCATTCGCAAGTGGCCTCCTGGGGGGGTCGGGGGGGGCATCCTTCGGCCAGTAGAGGTGGGGGGGGTGGTGAAGGGGCGAGGGGTTTACGACGCTCGCTGTTGCGCGACCACAAGCGAGTACATTCACGAGCGTCCGTGTCGCTGTTCATCCTCCTCCGTTTAAGGAGCGAAGACCACGATGGGTTTACGGACCACAGTGTGGGTTGCTTGGCCAATAACAAGCGCTGTGCCCCCCCCCCCCATTGACCCAGCCCCCCGAAACTAACTCCCCCCCCCCTTACCCCCTCCGCGTATCCCCTACCCCCACGTGTCCCCCCACTGTGGCTGCTTGCCCTGTGAGTTTCGCTGTACGCGAGGGCCTTTGAAATGAACAGCGGTGGCATTTCCGTTTTCAACTCTTGTTTGCTGGTGGAGGTGGGTGGGGCGTGAAGGGAGGGGGGGTGGTAGTATGGATAGTTGATTTTAAGGGGTTTCCTCAACCAGAAACCCATTTCACCACATCCCGCTTGCCGCGTCAGCTGATGGCGAAACTGGGGGTGGGCGGATTGAAATAAATAAATAAATAAGCGGAACGCGTGTTGCGGAACGTGACTCGCGTGGAACTCGTGGTTGTTGTTGTTGCGGTTGATGATGATGCTGCTGCTGTTGTTGTGATTGTTGTTGTTGCGGTTGTTGTTCACTCTGGTTGTTGTGGTGGTGGTTGTTG